GCTGGGGTTTCTGTCACGACCTGCAGCTGAGCCTAGTTCCAGTGACCGTGAGATCTGAAAGACTGAAGATGTGGCCTCTGCCATGCGTGTGGGGAGGAATGCTGGATCCTGCTTCCTCCCTTGGCCCTGCTCAGCCCAGCGAGAGGCTGAGGCACAAGTGACTCCCCAGCTGGGCCCTTTTCCACTGAGCCAGAACCCCCCCGAGTCTTCAACACAGGTACCACGGGTAGGCCCACGAGAAACCCTGCTTGCCACCTCCCACACCCCCACCCCCAAGGTCAAAGGAAACGGCCCCTGAACCAAGGGCTGAGACCAGCTGTGGGTCCGGCTGTCCTGGGGAAGCTGTACTGGAGCCCACCACGGTGGGACCATTGGTCCGGCAGTGACCTCTGTCTCCATGTCCGTGGCCGCAGCTGGACAGGCCACTCCCTGGGCCACAGAGATGCTTTCCCCCGCAGCCCTTGGGCACACATTGAGCAGATGTGTCTGCGTGCGTGTGCATGCCTGTGTGTGTATGTGTACGTGCCTGCATGCATGCCTTTGTATGTATGTGTACATGCCTGTGCGTGTGTGTGTGCCTGTGTGTGCTTGTGTGTGTGTGTGTATGTGCCTGCATGCGTGCTTGTGTGTATGTGTGCGTGCCTGTGTGCGCGTGTGTACGCACCTGTGTGTGCGCGTGTGTATGTGTGCGTGCCTGTGTGTGCGTGTGTGTGTGTACGTGCCTGCGTGTGTGTGTATGTGCGCGTGCCTGTGTGTGCTTGTGTGTATGTGTACGTGCCTGTGTGCGTGCTTGTGTGTATGTGCGCGTGCCTGTGTGCATGCGTGCCTGTGTGTGCTTGTGTGTGTGTGCGTGTGCCTGTGTGTGCTTTGTGTGTGTGTGTACGTGCCTGTGTGCATGCGTGCCTGTGTGTGTGCACGTGTGTGTGTTGCAGGCCCTAGATGCCAGACACTGAATAAACGCAGGAAAGCATCTGTCTGCGTTCTCCTCGCGGGGCGCTGGTCCAGAAGTGCTCTGCCTCAGGTCTGCCAATTTGAAGAGGTCTCCCAAAGCTGAAGGAAGACGGCTCCGTTGGTGTGAGGGCCCCAGGAGGCCCCCAATGTCCACAGCACCTCACAGACCCAGACCCCGCTCACCTCTGGCCATGAGCTGGAGGAAAGTGCTCTGCAGGAACGGAGGAACGGTGCCTCTGCCCGTGGGGGGACCCTGGTGAGCGGATGGGCCGGCCCCAAGCGTCTTCCGGCCGTTCAACATGCAATGTTTCCAGGGGCACTAAGAGATCAAAATTGAGATGGGATTAGCTGTGGGATTTCATCTAATCACAGATCATCCCGAGGCTAATTTATCTCCCCCATGACCATAACGCATCAAAAAGTTGACTTTTTCCAGCTCAGCTGTGCCTCATCTTCCCACAAAGCCCCCAACAGGCACATCCAGTGAGAACCCACAGTGGGAGTCCTGTGGCAGGGTCACCCCACTTCCGATGCCCTCCAGCTGCCTCTTGGCAGGAAAAAGGCTGCCCAATTCTCATGACCTTTCAAGTCCCGGGTTGGGTGGTGGCGCGGAGGCTGGGGTTAACCGCCGTCCATCTCAAAGGCCTCATTATGGAGCTGCAAACACGAACGTCCTTGAAATGTGAGGTCACAGTGCTCTGGGGCAGGGGCTGCTCACCGGCTCATGGCCAGCGGTGAGCGGGGTCTGGGTCTGTGAGGTGCTGTGGACGTCGGGGGCCTCCTGGAGCCCTCACACCAATGGAGCCGCCTTCCTTCCCCAGGCAGGCTCGGCCTCCGCACACCCTGGGACCCATCTCTGCCCTATGTTTAGGCTGGAAGCACAGCGTGAGGGGCAAAGGGCATGGGAGGCAAAAGGCTGGACTGAGGCCGAGGCCATGTGGCTGCGGCCAGGCACCAGGTCCTGTGGCGGTATGGGCAGGGCGCGCTGTCCCCTCTGAGCAGCCTGGGGCTGCGTGAGCTACCAGAAACAAGTCTCCCAAAGCTGAAGATACATCCCTGCCCGTGTCTCCCGGGTGCACTCTGCAGATGCGCCTGTGTCCGTCAGATGGTACAAGAATCTCCCAGCAACAGTTGTTGATAGGGAGTCTGAAGCCACCAGATGCCACGTGGTCTGTTCACACCGTGGACACCACAGTCTGAGGCAGAGGATTGCAGCCACCGGCATGGGTGCACCTCAGCCAGAGAGAGTAGCTGCAACACCATTCACGTCATGGGCCAGATGGACCGGCAGTGACTCGCTGGGGCTGTTCGGGGTGGGAACGCTTTGTCTGTTGGTCTGGTGCTACTTACGTAGCAGGTTCAGGTCGGGCATCCCTCACCCTGCATATTTATCATTGGTGCATTTTTATGTATGTTGTACCTCAATTAAAAGATCTTAGGGCCGGGCGCAATAACTCACGCCTGTAATCCCAGCACTTTGGGAGGCCCAAGGCGGGCGGATCATGAGGTCAGGAGTTCAAGACCATCCTGGCTAACATGGTGAAACCCCGTCTCTACTAAAGATACAAAAAATTAGCCGGGGATGGTGGCGGCCGCCTGTAGTCCCAGCCACTCGGGAGGCTGAGGCAGGAGAATGGTGTGAACCCAGGAGGCGAAGCTTGCCGTGAGCCGAGATCCCGCCACTGCACTCCAGCCTGGGCGACAGAGCGAGACTCTGTCTCAAAAAAAAAAAAAAAAAATATTTTTTAGGCTGGGCACGGTGATTCACCCCTATAATCCCAGCACTTTGATAGGCTGAGGTGGGAGGATCATGAGGTCAGGAGATAGAGACCATCGTGGTCAACATGGTGAAACCCCGTCTCTACTAAAAAAAATACAAAAATTAGCCGGGCATGGTGGCGGGCGCCTGTAGTCTCAGCTACTTGGGAGGCTGAGGCAGGAGAATTGCTTGAACCCAGTAGGCAGAGGCTACAGTGAGCCGAGATCATGCCATTGCACTACAGCCTGGGTGACCGTGAGACTTCATCTCAAAAAAAAAAAAAAAAAAAATTAAAGCAGATGGGGTGTGGGGGCTCACCCTTGTAATCTCAGCATTTTGGGAGGCTGAGGTGGGCGGATCACCTGAGGCCAGGAGTTCAAGACCAGCCTGGTCAACATGGTGAAACCACATCTCTACTAAAAATACCAAAATTAGCCGGGTGTGGTGGCGGGCGCCTGCAGTCCCAGCTACTCGGGAGGCTGAGGCATGAGTATCGCTTGAATCCAGGAGGCAGAGGTTGTAGTGAGCCGAGAATGCACCACTACACTCCAGCCTGGGCAACAGAGTGAAACTGTGTCTCAAATAAATAAATAAAAATTATATATATATACACACACACACATATTTTTTTTTTTTTTTTTTTGTTTTTTTTTTTTTTTTTTGAGTCTGAATCTCTGTTTCCCAGGCTGGAGTGCAGTTGTGTGATCTCGGCTCACTACAACCTCTGCCTCCTGGGTTCAAGCAATTCTGCCTCAGCCTTCGAGTAGCTGGGACTGCAGGTGCCCGCCACCACACCCGGCTAATTTTTTTATTTTTAGTAGAGATGGGGTTTCACCATATTAGCCAGGCTGGTCTCGAACTCCTGACCTCATGACTCGCCTGTCTCAGCCTCCCAAAGTGCTGGGATTACAGGGGTGAGCCACCGTGCCCGGCAATAATGATTTTTGGGTTTTTTTTTTTTGAGACGGTTTTGCTCTTGTTGCCCAGGCTGGAGTGCAGTGGTACAATCTCAGCTCACGACAACGTCCACCTCCTGCGTTCAAGCAATTCTCCTGCCTCAGCCTCCCGAGTAACTGGGATTACAGGCGCCCACCACCACGCCTGGCTAATTTTTGTGTTTTTAGTAGAGATGGGGTTTCACCATGTCGGCCAGGCTGGTCTCAAACTCCTGACCTCATGATCCACCCGCCTTGGGCTCCCAAAGTGCTGGGATGACAGGCGTGAGCCACCACACCCAACAGTAATAAAAAATTTCAAAGCAAAAATAAAGATTTATAAATTGTAAAATGCAGATGTAACGAGTGAGTAATATTTACTGACTCAGTGAACATGAATAATGTTAATGTGCCCACGGAGGGGCTGTGAGTGGTGTGAGCATTTCATGGCCAGAGATTGGCAGTCGGGCGAGAGACTAGATGGATTTTAACTGGAACATCACAGATGCAAACACTGAACGCCCTGACGCGGGCGGCGCCTGCGCCGTTGCCTCCTTCTCTGCACCTGTAAATGGGGTGAATAATTCCATCCCCCTCCCGTTTCCACCTTCAGAAGGTTTTTTGTCAGCACAGTCTTCAGCGAGGAAGTGCTGGGAACGCCCTGGAGTGAACCCAGGAAGACGCCTGCGGTGGGTGCCGTGGTCCCTCCCCACCGCCCCTGCTGGGTCTCGGGCCATGCCCGCCTGCTGTGAACCCCTGCAGAGCACCACTTACGAGCGCTGGTTGGAGGCGAGAAGTCTGCCTTTGATGTGGCTCTTGGGGCAGGGCCTGTGGTGCCTTCCACAGCTGAAATGGGGCACCACGTGGGGAGGGCGGGAGCAGCGTCCGGGGTGCCCCTGTGAGGATGAGCGAGGAGATGACTGGAGGGTCCTGAGGACCTCACCAGGGTGCCCCCAGCCCGTCCACTCCCAGGAAGCGACACCCCCAGCCCCAGGGCTGCAGCTCAGGGGGTTGCTACTCTGGCTGGGCGAGGCTGGGCCCTTGGGGGCCGGGGCCAGAGATGCCTAAAAGCACCGACTCCTCTGGGGCTCACTAGCATCGGGCCGTTTCACGCTCCGCCCTGGCCAGAAGCCCCCTCACCCCCAGCGATGTGCAGTTCCTGCAGGCTCACTCAGTTTCCAGAACTTTAATTATGGGAAAGTTCTGCCTGGTCCTGCCCCCAAATCTGCCATGAATGTTGACAGCTGAGTTGCTGCCCCATGCAGGCTTTGGCTGAGAGCAGAGGGTGCCCCGTCCTCATTGAGCTGCTGACGTGGGGAGGGGTGGGGCCTAGGGGTGCCATCCATGGCCAGTGATTGAGGCAGAGGAGCCTCTGGAGGGGGCAGGTCCCAGGGAAGCCCCGGACTCCTAGAGGGGAGGCCAGGTGGGGTCCCTGGTGACCAGGACAGACTGTGGTATTTTTTAACATAAAGGAGATATGCTACGTGACAGACCCCCAGGGTGCTGCGCACTGCCTGGTGGCAGGCGGGCCGTGGTGGGCACTCACGCCCCTGCCACGTGCCCGTCATGTGCCCGCCCTCAGTGGGAGGGGCTCCGATGATGACTTTTAAAAATGCAGAGAAAGGCTCCATTCTTCCCAGGACCTCAGCCCAACCCTGGCCCAGGGAGGCAAGAGACAGAGGCCAGGAGGGGGCCAGAGGTGTTGAAATGTCCTGGGAACCTGAGCAGCCACCAGGGAAGAGGCAGGGAGGGAGCTGAGGACCGGGCTTGTCCACACTGGTTGTGAGATGCCTTGAGCCCAGAGGGTTGATGCCAGGAGGTGTCTGGACTGGCTGGGCCATGCCTGGACTGACCTGTCCAGCCGGGGAGAGGGTGAGTGTGAGGGCAGATCTGGGGGTGCCCAGATGGACAGAGGCAGGCATGGGGGATCCCCAAGGCCCCCTGGCAGCACCATGAGCTAAGCAGGACACCTGGAGGGGGAGACCTGTGGGGACCTGGGGGCCTCCAGTGACCCCTTCCTGCTTCCTGAACAGGACTATGCCTGTGCAGGGATCCCAGAGAAGACTCCTGGGCTCCCTCAACTCCACCCCTACAGCCACCCCCCACCTGGGGCTGGCTGCCAACCAGACAGGAGCCCGGTGCCTGGAGGTGTCCATCCCTGACGGGCTCTTCCTCAGCTTGGGGCTGGTGAGCTTGGTGGAGAACGTGCTGGTGGTGACCGCCATTGCCAAGAACCGGAACCTCCACTCACCCATGTACTGCTTCATCTGCTGCCTGGCCCTGTCAGACCTGCTGGTGAGCGGGAGCAACATGCTGGAGACGGCCGTCATCCTCCTGCTGGAGGCCGGTGCACTGGCAGCCCGGGCTGCCGTGGTGCAGCAGCTGGACAATGTCATTGACGTGATCACCTGCAGCTCCATGCTGTCCAGCCTCTGCTTCCTGGGCGCCATTGCCGTGGACCGCTACATTTCCATCTTCTACGCACTGCGCTACCACAGCATTGTGACGTTGCCGCGGGCACGGCGAGCCGTCGCAGCCATCTGGGTGGCCAGTGTCCTCTTCAGCATGCTTTTCATTGCCTACTACGACCACGCGGCCGTCCTGCTGTGCCTTGTGGTCTTCTTCCTGGCCATGCTGGTACTCATGGCTGTGCTGTACGTCCACATGCTGGCCCGGGCCTGCCAGCATGCCCAGGGCATTGCCCGGCTCCACAAGAGGCAGCGCCCAGCCCACCAGGGCTTTGGCCTCAAAGGCGCTGCCACCCTCACCATCCTGCTGGGTATTTTCTTCCTCTGCTGGGGCCCCTTCTTCCTGCATCTCACACTCATTGTCCTCTGCCCCCAGCACCCCACCTGCAGCTGCATCTTCAAGAACTTCAACCTCTTTCTCGCCCTCATCATCTGCAATGCCATCATTGACCCCCTCATCTATGCCTTCCGCAGCCAGGAGCTCCGCAGGACGCTCAAGGAGGTGCTGCTGTGCTCCTGGTGAGCGCAGCACGGGCAGCTTTCAGCGTGCTGGGCAGAGGGAGGTGGTGATATTGTGTGGCCTGGTTTCTGTGTGACCCTGGGCAGTCCCTTACCTCCCTGGTCCCCATTTGTCAAAGGATGGACTGACTCTGAAGGTGTTAAGCACGGACACTTCTGGGACCAGGGAGAGGGGTCCCTGCAAAACTCCAGGCAGGACTTCTCACCAGCAGTCGTGGGGAACAGAGGAGGACATGGGGAGGTTGTGAGGCCTCAGGCTCTGGGCACCAGGGGCCGACCTCAGGCTCCTGAAGAGACATTCTCCGCCCACTCCTGGGGCACTCCACCTGCTCCAATGGGCATCCACCCCACCCCATCTTTGCTGCCAACTCTCAGGACCTGTGCCCTCGTCAGCTGGGATGTGGAGGCTCTGGGTGGAAGAATGTGCCAAGAGCTACTCCCACAACAGCCCCAGGAGAAGCGACTTTGTGACCAGAAAGCTTCAGCTACAGTCATGCAAAGGCTTCTGCAAAAGGAAATGAAATCCCTGCCTCAGGCCAAGGGACCAGGTTTGCAGAAACCTCACAAGTGGTGTGGGGCTGAGGCCTCCTGAGCGCTGATTCTAAGGCTCAGACTGCGAACTGGGGCCTCAGCCTGCTTTCCTGCAGCAGTCACCCAGGCAGACAGCCCTGGCAAATGCCTGACTCAGTGACCAGTGCCTGGGAGCACAGGGCCAGGAAAGTCTGGTAATAAATGTGACTCAGCATCACCCACCTTAGCCCCTTCCAGAAAGTGCTTGAAGTTTGTGGGTGGAGGGGTAGGGGAGGGGAAGGTGGGCAGGGATGAGAGTCAAGAGAGGGAAGAAAGGAGTCCTGAAAAACGTGGCTGCCTCCCCAGGTGAGGAAGCCACAGCCCCAGAGGTCCTGAACGCCTGGGGAGTGTGGAGGTCCCAACCAGGCTTGCGCTGACCCTGCTTCTCAGGTTTCTCTCCGTGCTTACAAACCCCAGCCTAGAGGAACGAGGAGCAGGTGCAGCAGGGCCCCAGCCCCTCCACTCTGACACTGTCCCAGCTGCAGGAGAGGTGGGTGCCCAGCCCTCCATGTGACCACAGGTGACCTCAGCCAGGCACACTCCTTTGCTGGCCCTGGCCCTGAGTCCCTCCAGCCGTGATGAGCCGTAAATGGGACCATCCCTGGTCACTCTGAGATGCCTGGAAGGGGGCTCAGTGCAGGCGGGCGGGGGGCTGGGTCTGCTGTCTGTCCAGCACTGCTATTCTGGGAGTGGGCAGGTGGGGTGGGGGTGGGGGGTGGTCTGTGTTGAGCCAGTCCTGGGAAGTGCTGGATGTGAGGACTCCGAAGATGAGGATGAGGCAGAGGCCCAGCAGCGGACAAGTCCCCTGGGAATGAACTATGCTGCCTGGTGCTAGGGAGCAGTGGAGCCCCTGGGCCATCCCTCTGCTGAAACCTGGGCATCTCACTGAAGAGACCAACTCCATTTCCTCTGCAGACGCTGAGCACTCTGTCACCCCCTTTCTGGAATAGGCTCAGTGGAGGCTGCAGGGCTGCCATCAGCCAACTCCTAGGCAGGCCCAGTCAGCAGCCCCCTGGCCAGCCCCACCCCTGCGTCAGCTCCAGCCCTGACTGCCGGCCTCAGAACTGGGAGCTGCTTCCTGGCAGGGCCCGCCTGTGCTGGGAGACCGGACAGTGAGTCAGCCTTAAGCCTGGCACCAGAGCTCTCTGAGGATGGAGCAGGGGTTGGCTCGCCTGAGGCTGCAAAACTTCCCTCATGGAGACAGGCAGGCACCCAGACGCTCACCCGGGACTCCCTTGAACAGGGACAGGGAGGAACTCCAGGCAGCTAGACCCCAGCCACAGCCACTTGAGCACACTGTGGGGCAGGGAGGGGCATCTCTTGAGAACAAAAGATCCATTTCTCGACTTTCCAAACTGGAGAGCTTGAGAGAAGAGACACAGGGACAAGGCCATGCCACCCACACAGTCCTGTGCACACAGACCGGACACAGGCGTCCACAGGAGGGTTTGCAGCTGCTCATTGTGTGAAGTGAATGCTGATTTGGGGACGGGGGTCGTCTGTGCATTGTGCACTGTCAGACCCTTCCTGAAGGATTTTTGTTACTGAAATATCAGAAGGTCCTTGTTATAAGGTGGTGTCACTGTAATATCTGGCCCAGGAGGAGGTCAGTGCTGTGCGGGCGAGTCCTTCCCTCCCTCCCTTCTTCTCTGACCAGTAGACGCATCTCCAGTTGTTCCCCTGAGGCCCCCTGCAGCCTTCTCCGACATCAGAGAGTGAGTCAGATAGAAGCCGCTGCCCACCCTCCCCCACCCTGGCCGGGTTCTTGCCTGGCTTGTGCGTCCTTGTGACAATTCCTGACACGGATGCGCACCGGGCAGTGGCACGTCCAGGTGCTGTGCGCGGCTGGGCCCACAAAGCTCCTTTGGCCTTTCACGGAGCCCCCTGGGGGAGGGGGCCAGGTGGCCCCCCCACTGCGGAAGCCGGCGACCCACGGAGCTCGCTCTTGGCCGCCGCCACCCCTCTGTGTCCGCGCCCTTCCGAGCTCTGATCCGACGCTTTGTTTCTTCTCAGTGGGTTCAGGGCCTGCGCCAACCTTTACCTACCTCCCGCACCCAAAACCGGCAAAGCTCAGAGCAGCTTGTCTGCCAGAAAACAGGGAGCTGGCAAGGTGCGGCTTGGTCCCTAAACCGGCGTGGGGATAAAGACCCTCCTTACAAAGCCGCAGGGTGGGGCTGTCGCAAGGGCGGAACCGACAGGGTAGCCGGGGGCGGGGTTCCCAGGGCCAAGAGGGGCTTCTATTGTCCTCCCTGGAGCCCGGCGCCCCCACAGGCAGCTCCTCTGGGAGGCAGCCCCTCCTTTCGAGTGCGCGGGGGCCCCCAGACCGCGCCCGGCCCTGCGCTGGGGGATGCTTGGCTGCGGGAGGGGCGCCGCATTGCGCGCGGCGGGCGGGGACGCGCGGTGCCGAGGATGCGGGCGGGGATGCGCGGTGCGGGGCCTGCGGGCCGGGCGGGATTCTGCGGCGGCGCCTCCCGATTGGCCACCTGCGGTGACATCAGCCCATGCGAAGGGCGGGGCCGCAGCTATAAGAGCGCGCGGCCGCGGTCCCCGACCCTCAGCAGCCAGCCCGGCCCGCCCGCGCCCGTCCGCAGCCGCCAGCAAGACGCGCCCAGCATGAGGGAGATCGTGCACATCCAGGCCGGCCAGTGCGGCAACCAGATCGGGGCCAAGGTGAGGCTGCGCGCCCCGGCCTGTCCCGGGCCTCGGGGCGGGAGGAGGGAGGCGCCGTGCCCTGCGGGGCGCACCTCCAGCCGCCCCCGCCCCCGCGAACCTGCAACAAAGGGATGCGCCCAGCGTCGCGCCGGGCGGCCGGGACGCGGGGCCCCCGCCCTGGGACTCTCGCCCGCACCTCTCCTCCCCTGCCCAGGTGACCTCGGGCTGTCGGGGCGCAGCTCACGTCAGTCGCGAAGTCTCGGCCCCCTCCACACCTGCGCCCCCTCCACACCTGCGCCTCCTCCACCAGGCCTCCGCAGGTGCAGCTGGGAGCCCTGTCTGGGCGTGGCCCTCTTTTTTGGGCCCACAGCATAGCCTTGAGTGAGACGGGTGGGGTAGGTAGATTTGGGTGGGCTGGGATTGTCCTCACAGCCTTGATTCCCTTGGCCCGAACCCCCCACTGGAGGAACCGGACGTCCCTCGAGAGGCTAGAGCCGCCCCGATGTCCCCAGCCTGCTCCAACAGCCCTCGGCGTCCTAGCCCCACCCTGTCCCTTTGTTGGAGGGATTGGGCCTGGACTCGAGATGACCTTGGTCCAGGACCAGGCTCTCCATCGGCGCAGCCGCTCCTGGGCAACCCCTGCGGGGCTTGACCGCGCCCACCCAGGGTCTACCAGTCTGGGGATTGGATGTGGGAACAAAGCCGGGCTGTGGGGTGTGGAGGCTGCACCGTGGCGCGCCCCTCCCTCCATTGTTAGTCCACCTCGCAGATGTCGGGGCCAGGCAGGAAGGGGCGTTGATGCAGCTCTACAGGGACCCCCGCCTAAATCATTAAGGGGACGTCTTGTCCCCTGGTCCTGGGAGGCTGTCCCTGACCCAAGGTCACATAGCAGGTGCGAGAGAGCTGGGCTGGCCCTTGGTTCTCATCCCCTGCAGGAGCCAACCTGGGGCTCGGGCGGGGCGGGTGGGGGTTCTGCTTGCCAAAGGATCTACCCTCCGAACAGTGTTGGAGAACGGGGGATGGGGTGAGGCTGGCTTTGTCAGGACCAAGGCCAGGGACCCAGCTCAGGGCTGGTGCAGCGCTGATTCTGGGAAGGAGGGGGTGGAGGAGACGGTCCTGGAGGGGAAGGGGCCAGAGAAAGGCTTCCTCGGGAGGCTGTTGCCACGGAAACCAGGCAGGAACAAAAAGCTAATTACAACAGGGCCAGCCACGTGGCTGACATGTAAATTGCAACTTTGGCTCTGGGTGGAGGCGCCTCTGAGGGTGGGAGGCCCAGTAATGGGGAGACTCTAATCACCCAAGGAGACAGCTGTGCCTGCCAAGGAGAGCCTGGGGGAGGGGAGGCCTGGGGGACAGTGGCCTCAAATCAAACCAGGACTCCTGGAGCAGCCTCTGACAGCTGCCCTGGCCTGATGGGAGGGGCTGAGGGCTCATTAATGTGGTCACTGGGGCCAAGCCTGCCCTCAGCATCTGCTCCTGGGAGGGTCAGGGGTCGCTGTGGGGAGGGAGGGCAGGCAGCCCCGAGGCCCACCTGGGGTTTCTCCTTCTATGACTGGGATGGGCCCAGAGCTGTGGTCCCACAAGGCACTTATCAGGCAAGAGCTGGGACCTAGAAGTCAGTTCCACATGCAGACATCCCCTGAGGCTCCATGGGTGGCAGTGGTAGCCCTTGTCCCCTGGACCGCGTCCTTGGCTGCCTTGTGCTCTGCTTCTCAACACTGGAGCCCTCAGTTTGCCCACTACTTTTATTCCTTTTGAGATTTTTCTTAATTTATTTTGTTTTAAAAATGAATACCTGGCCGGGCACGGTGGATCAGGAATCTCATGTAATCCCAGCACTTCGGGAGACTGAAACTGGAGGATCACTTTAGCAAAGGAGTTCAAGACCAGCCTGGGTAACATGGTGAAACTCCGTTTAAAAAAAAAAAAAAATTAGCCTGGCGTGGTGGGCGCGCCTGTAGCCCCATCTACTTGAGAGGCTGAGATGGGACATCGTTTCAGCGTGGGAGGTCGAGGCTGCAATTAGCTATGACCGCACCACTGTACTCCAGACTAGGCGATGAGAGAGACCCTGTCTCAAAATAATAATAATAGTATCTGATTCTTTTTAACAATGCAAACAACAGAGAAGTTAATTTTCTTGGGGCGGGGGGCGGCAAGAACGTATTCCTTTCCTCTGCTGCCCTTGTGGAATCAATGGGAGGCAGCTCAGTGGTTTGCGTCCAGCCGCACCCTCGCCCTGGAAGGTCTCCAGGGGTCAAACGCGACTTCCCCCGGGCCAGGCCCCGTGTAG